GCTTTCTTCATAGCCACGCCGTGAAAGCCTCAAATCTTACACAGCTAACTAAAATTTCGCTTAGTGGGGGTGGAGTCCAGCTGGGTCCACTCGGCACGGCGGCCACTGATTGGCCTATTGTAGCCTGCCCCCGGTGATTATGATGATGATGGAGAATTTGGTGGAATGAAGATTGGCAAGGGGAACCGAAGTACTCGGAAAAAACCTGCCCCTGCGCAACTTTGTCCATCACAAATACCACTTTACCAGACCCAGGATTGAACCCGGGCCGCTGCGGTAGGACTAACCAGCTAACTCCATGATAAAATCTTCTTTTCATTACTAATGGAAATGACTGGAATAGAGCCCAGGACCCTTTTAAAACTAATATAGTCGATTAAGAGAAGGACGCCATGTTACGTTCCTCGTTTATTTGACGATTCTGTCAGTAGCCCAGACTACACGGCGTCGAATGATGGGTTCATTAGTGGGCGATGAACTTCAAAGGATGTGAAAGGAAGAGGTTGATGGCCTGTTTCAAGGCGCTATCCCAACGTTCACCTGTAAGGATTTAGAAAAACCACGAAAAGCCTCAGACAGGATGGGCGATATCTCAGCCGGGATTGGAACCGGACATCTCCTGGGTGCAAGTCAGAAGTGTGACCGCCCAAGTCAACTGCCTAAGTGATTCCGGATTCGATCTCAACTGCTACTACTGATAACAGAATCATTTAGGTCTATTAGGCTATTTACGTTTCGATAGTCCTCATATTTAATCCGTCGCTTATAAAAGTATCGCGAACTTAGCGGATAGAGGGTGTCGCGTGGTCAGCGCAACGGATCCCCACGGCCGTTAATTTCGGTTCTCTAGACCAGAGCCGTTATTTTCCATTCAAGTAGCTCCTCAATTATCCTCACGAGGCTGAGTGGACCCCGTTCCAGACCCACTACTTCTCAGAAGATCTGGTAGCACCGGGAATCGAACCCGAACCTCTGGATCTGTATCCAGGAACTCTGACCATTAGACCACAGAAGCGGTCCACTAATTTCGCCGACAAACGACGGTCGCTCTGTCGGTATAGTTAGCTTGCGTACTAAAGCCACGGAATTTGTTTTATAAACATGCGAGAAACACGCTGACAGACAAAAAGTAGTCGACTTCGGTAATTTAATTTAAATTGCATTTCTGGAGCACTGTCCCGGTATGCAGCACCAGAGATTATCCTGGATCAGGATGCAGAACCTATTTTTGATATCTGTCTATGGCTCTACAGTCCTTCTGTTGGACCTTCGCCGCTTTTTCGGGTTCTTCATCTTCTTCTTGCACTGTCGGTAGGACTCCTCGGACACGGGATCAGCTCGTCGCAAGGCCGCTACCTACACACAGAACAACACAAACACGCAGAGATATCCATGTCTTGAGTGGGATTCGAACCCACGATCCCAGCGTTCGAGCGAGCAAAGACAGTTCATGCCACTGCGATCGGCCTATTTCTGGTGTACCGTTTATACTGAGAATACCTCAGACCATGGACACTGACCAACTAATGGCTGACCTTTGGAGAATCATTTGATGCTAGCTTCCTTGTACGTGACATGTTTCTCGGCCGTTCTCCATGTGTGTGATTCAACCGAAGTCAGTACGTTCCGAGAAACTGTGTTAAGGCGAGCATAAGCAATCGAGAACCGATCAGACCCGCGTCTGGTAGACAAACAAGTTGCGTCACTTCCTGTTTCTGACAAACGAGTCAGGACAACTTGCTCTGTTCTCCGCACGAACCAGGCTACATCGTGTTTGCTTGATTTAAAAAACAAATCACTGAAGTAGATATGACACAAGAAACGTGACGGAAAATCGTAATGTTCAACATTGTCACAGGCCATGAGCTAAACTGTTGCACAAATTTACATCCAACAACGCTTTCATTTTGTGTGTGTGGCTTGTTACTCGCAAACGGTCATCAGCCGAAGCAGACCAGTTTGTCAAAATGTTGAGATGTTTAAACATGTAGATAAAATATTAAAATAAAGAATTAGAATGGATCAAACTCCATTTTACAAATATGTAATTGTTAAAAAGTCAGTACTTCGTCTAAATGTAAGAATTGTCCAGCGTATGGAATTATATGTATACTGTCCAATTCTATTTTTTTATACCTTGGTACTTCAAACTTCTATGCTCTCCTTTCACTTTTCTCATATAACCGTCTCTGTTAACCCAGGATAAATTATGATATTTAGTTGTGCGTCACTTTCTTACCCTCATCTGAGTACTTGGAGCAATCTTTTCGGTGTTTTTCTTTGGGTGAGTAGCAGGAGCTCACTGATGCAGTAGAATGCGTGTTCTTGAAGGCAAGGATTAACGTTTTGCTGCAACGTAACTGCTCGCTTAAAGGCAAGTGCTCGAGTGGAGGGAGACCCATACTCCAAGCACAGAGACGGTTCCTTTGAAGCGCACACACATCACCCTACGTGTATACGTTAGTTCTTCCCTTCAGAGCACACCATGGAAGTATAGACTACCACAGTCAATAAGTTTGTGGATTGGCCGCAAAGCGTCGTACGGGAATTTACTGCCAATATGTTTCAGCAATGTTTTCGGCAGCTGTATCAATGTTGGCAGACTTGCATAGCGGCCAACGGCAACTATTTTGAGGGCCGATGTGGATCTGCGTTAGTGTATGTGAATACCTCGTAATATGATGCGATAAAACCACATTCCACGAACTTAATGACTCTACCACGTTTGTCAAAGTAATTTCCACGAATCATTGACAATATAATTATTACGTCATATCTCGGCCGCCTGTAAAATTTAATTAATTAAGCACTACGCCATGAAGGCGTATGGGGAGTGAATGTATAGATCCAAATTTTCTTGACCTCGGCACTAGTCGGAGGTGAGTGATCAGCTTCACGCCCCGACCGCTTTACCCACTCGGAAAGAACCCGAGGTATCCATTGGATAGGAGGTTGGGTGGATCCCAGATCGGGATCTGGGCTTGAAGACGGCTTGAAGAAGAGAAAATTCTTGGACCTAGTGGGACTCGAACTCCGGCCCCTCGGTCGTCCAGCCCTTAGTCAGTCGCTATACCGACTACGCTATCCCAGCTCCCTCATGTACCATAGTGGTACTCATTAATTAGAAGACGTCCATAACAACGCGGTGCAAGCATGACAAGACCTCCACGGTGCATAATCTTCCTCCAAAAAATGTACATGTTGGTCATGAGCGTTACTGATTTTGTAAGACCGGAAGTTCAGCACAGAGCCCGCTACTGGTAATTTTCTTGGACCAAATGGATCTAGTCCACCAATTCACATGCCATTTCTTTAGTCTCCATTTCAATATTATTTTTCCCCACAACCTCAGATGTTATAGTCTCTTTCCGTGACATTTTCCAAATAAAACTGTATGCTACAATTGTGTGCGAGACGCCCCGCCTATTTTGCCCTTCTAGGCTTAATGTAGAGGTTGATATAGAGTGCAAACTATGACGCTCCCCATCGCCTGCTTCATTCCTCGTTGTTATGACGTCAAGTAATCTGTGTTGGCAAATGAGAGTTATGTGTTTGTCCCGAGATCACGCCATGATTGCAGCGAACGGACGGTCTTCAGTACTGTTTAGGCCCGCCAAACTATCATCTGGGATATAACGCCGCATAGTCCACTGAAAGTCATCTGAGGTTTGGGAGGAACATATTGCCTCTATCTAGAGCATCGAAGAATCAGCCGAGCAAGATACCAGCGTGGAAGCATTGCTTGCCTCTTGCTTTCGTCTTTGAGAACCTCAAATGCTACATGTAGTGGTTTTCGTTGAAAATTTTCTTGAATTATGAAGAGTTGTCTTTCAATTTGTAAATATCTGTCAGGATCCACTTGCGTTTTTCTTAAAACGAAAGTTTTGTTCTTCAATGCACACTGTCACTTCGCGGAGTGAGATTTGGGGTTAAGGGTTTTCGTGACGCATCTGCAACACTACAGCAAAAGATGGTCAAGTCATTGCTTCGAATGACGTATGCTTGTAAACAACTGTTTTCAAAAGTGGAGGATTCCAAATGAAAAAAAAAAATGAGAGGACGCTAGGACGGATATTTAGCTAATTTCATGGAAGAAGAGTCCTTTCTAAGAAGCTGAGAGTGGCTTAGCTGAACAAAAATTTTGCTGCTTCTTACGGAACACATCAATTCAATATCGTATTCAAAAGAACCCTACCCTAGACCCTATCCCGAGTCAAATAAATCCAGTGTACATCTCAAATTCTTTCTTAAATATCCATTTTTTTAAATATTGTCTCTGGTCTACGGTAAATTCTTCCAGATGGCTTTCGGGTTTGTTAACTATGGGCATAACCCGTGGGGGGTTAGAAAATAAATCAATAATATTTATAAAATATAAAATTAAATCCTTTTAAATCTCTGATGATGGAAACAAAATCGGTTAGGCACAAGTAACTGACTGAAAACCATGCAGAAGAATTCGTTTGAAAAGCTACTAACACTGAATATCTCAGCCAGTTAACATATTCGTTGCTTTTTATTGAATCCGCAGGTTCAACACCGTCTTCATCAAGAGACAGAAATTCGACACTAACCTTAGTCGGATAAATCCAATCCACACCCTTACGCGCTAACGTTTTAAGATCCATTTTAGTGCCATCAGCTATGCCTAGGACTTCACTCTTATTCTTGTATTCAAAATTTTGTAAGTATTTCTTATTTCTTCCACTGTGATATAAATGCCTCGATTTGATCAATCTGATTATATCTATCGAAAGGCACAGACTATGAAGCCCCTTATTAACATCCCCCCCCCAAAAAAATTTATGTTATTTGCTCCATTTTGGTTATTCAAATATTCTCCTAACCATTCTCTTCTCAAAAGCTACCCATACACTATATACTGCGCCTTAGGCGGGGAACCAAATTTCACGATGCAGAATTACGAAAACAAGCAAGTGCCCCTTATATGGATACGTCCACGTGCCTGCCGTTCAAGCCTCATCATTATCCCCACTTACTTTCGCTTTGCTTCGCGAGCAGTCCAGGCGGTCCAGGCAGTCCGGGCAGAGGAGCGGTGTACTCGGCGTTTCTCCTCATCACTGGCCGCTCTCAATATCGGAACCAACACGGCTCCAGTGCCCGTCAGATCGCTGCACTAAAACTGCTCTCCTGTAGTACACCTTCCACGTAGAGAAGAGGCAGACCATGGTGTGTCAAGGAAATGTCGTCATCTGCCTCGTGGCTGCACTGCTGGTCGTCATCACGGTCTTGCAGGCGGCAGAAGTACCGAAATGTAAGTGTTGATGCGCTTCTGTTTGGTTTGTTTAAGATCTTGAGACGGGGTGAATAAACTGGACAGTCTACTACTCCATAGAATTTGATTTATTTATGTATTTATGGGATACGATTACCAGGAATCTTTCTGGGGGCAAAGGGCGGCCGGCGTGTTAGGCTGACATCACCGCCATCTCGAAGCCTATTGTTTAGAAAATGTGGGAGCCTCTACGTCTCACAACCCTATGGGCCTCCATAACCTGTTACAAGGAAATTTTTACCCTTTACTATAGTTTATGGCGAATTAATTTTGTTCCACATCTGTCCAATGTTACATTAACATCTAAAATGAATTAATTTTATGAAGACTGCTTTATGGGGAAAAATATTTGTATATAACCTAAATTACAGGGGTCCTTGATCTAAAACATTCTTATGGAATATTTTTGTGTAATATATTTTTCATTAATTATAAATAAATGGATCAATACCATAACCTGTCGATAATGTTTATTAACATACCTTTGCTTCAATGGATTTCTATCTTAAATAAATGGATATAGGCATGCAAAATTTAAAGAAAGAACACATTGGGACAATTATGTACACCACTGGAATACACTTATATTAGAGCGCACTTCGAATTTTGTCATATTGAACATAATTTACTTGCATTAAACCATAAAGATATACGTTATCACGTTAGGACCTATGCTATGCACTATCCTCACTGCAAATAAAGTTGCCGCAGTGCTTGGGCTCCAAGTCATGATGGCGTACAGGGGTAGAAAATGGAACTGTACTCTTGGCAGACCTCGACTCTAAACGGAAGGCGAGTGGTCATCTGCACGCTCCGACTGCTTTGTCCAGTATACAGAAGGCCAAGTCGGCCGCAGAACCGATCTGGAATCCGTGGCCAGGAGAGAACTTCGTGACTCTGCATGGAGCTGAGCTTTGCTCGCGTTGGCCTTAGCGATTCACGCTGTTGATTAAGCATGTGGAAGCTGGTTAAGTTTAACACAAATTTGAACACAATTTAACTCGATGTCGCGATATCGAGATGCGGACAGAGAAGGAAGCCTGTGGATGCGGGGGGGGCACCTGGGAACATGTTGATTATTAATTGTGAACAGCTAAGAATTTGTGGCTTTGAATACTGGGCACTGGGCAAGAGGCTAATAACCTGTGATCAGAGAAGAAACTAGTAACACAATGTGTCGGACTTGAAGATGTGAACTGGATTCAAGTGGCTCTGGATAGGGCCTTAAGAATATCTTATGTGAACATGGTGATGGAATTTTGAGTTCAATAAAAGCTGAATGTATGGATAGGTCAAGGAAAATTTCTTGTCACGGAGATTGATTTTTCTTTCTTCAGCTCTCACGGAATGAGCTTAATGGATCGAACCGGCTGGCATATCTGTAACGGTCTTCACTCCTATTCAGGAGGTGCTCTGTTCGAATCTTGCAGGAACATCGACTATTCTAACCGAGGTTTTCATCATCTTCCTCGGTTTCTGGAAGCATTTACCGGGAAGGGACCACGTTCGGGCCGCGTTCTGTTGCTTCCACATCATCATACAAGTACACCCATCCATTCGACGTTATGTGGTCTAGCTACTGAAAGAATCGATAAGTAACTAACAAGTACAGCATAAGTAAATACCCCCCTGTAGACTGTTTTTTTTTCCTTGGCGCTACAGCCCTCATTTGGGCCTAGGCCTACCTCCATGAAATTCTCCGTTTCACTTCGGTTTACTAGATCTTACACATGCGGTAGGACTCCTTGGGCGAGTGATCAGCTCGTCGCAAGGCCTCTACCTGTAGACAAACACAGAAAAACGCACACAAACATCCATGCCCTGAGTAGGATTCCAACCCACGATCTTGGCTTCCGAGCGAGCGAAGACAGTGCATGCCTTAGACCGCTCGGCTACCGTGACCGGCCCCTATAGGCTGTTACTATTCAGAATTCCTTCTCAATCAATCGTTTAGACATTTAGACAAGTGGTAGTACTCCCAGGACGTAAGACTGGTCTATCGCAAGGCGTCTACCTAAACAGGAGCCAACTCGCAGACAAACTAAGACATGCTTCCATATTCCGAGAGCGATTACGTGCAGGTCAAATATTTTGAACGGTCTGAATCTTAAGGCGCGTCCACATTACTCGTGCACGTGTGACTCGCTATGCTCGTGAGTAATGTGGACGATATGACAAGTAACGAGACAAGAAAAATTTAAATTTATAATTTGAAAACTATAGCCAATAAATTAAAATACGACTACAGCCTATACACACTACGAGTAAATATACGGATCCTCACGCGCCGAAGCCTGGCGAGCAACTGAAGTAGTGTGGACGAAGATTTACGAGCACAAGTAAAAGCCAGACAAGCACAAGCCTGGCGAGCACGAGCACGAGAACGAGCCCGAGTGTTGTGGACGCGCCTTTAGACCTCGTGATCACAGTAATAGGCAGTCAGTAGTGAGTAAAACATATTTTGATGTCTGCTTGGCGAAGCCTCCTATCCCATGGGTACTGTGAGCTTTCTTCCGGGGGGTTAAGCGGCAGGGACGTGAAGCTGAACACTCACAGTGTCAAGTTAAAGAATGGTGGAGCTATATCTTCATTCCGCCATACGTCTTTATTGCGTGGTGCTTAATTAATTAAAACAGGGACAACTTTATTTTACCACTTCGTTTCGTAGCTTCAGTTCGTACATCTGAGTGTTCTTGTAGTCAAGTACAGAAGTGACTTAGTGACGCGGTTTCTGACTCATTTCCGGAGAATCGGTGACTCTCCTCTCTGGTTTCCAGAACTTGGTTTCGTCATGTCTGTCCTCAAGCCACACAGACCAGACGTATGGAACTGCGCGCGGTACACATGAAACTAAATTTTGTTGCTCCACTTTGATGCTTGTGTTGTCTGGTCAGTTTTAATAAAGACCGAAATTTTTCTCTATCTAAATATTTGCCGTTTATGTCCTTCTGTGCATCTTAATGAAACGATATCTGGAACTTACTTTAATACGAAGCTCAAGCGGTTAGTCGCTGGCTTCCCACCGTGGCGACCCGGGTTCGATCCCGGGTCTGGTCTAGTGGGATTTGTGGTGGACAAAGTGGCGCTGGGGCGGTTTTCTCCGAGTACTTCGGTTTCCCCTGCCAATCTTCATTCCACCANGCATGTACAACTAAACCTATTACTGATATTATAAATCAGAGATATCTAACTAGCGGCAAGCGGACCGCATGAGGCCTCCTATTTGTGTTTTGCAGCCGGCGAAGGTGACTTTTCGTTCTCCAAAATAACTCTTTTCTCCTCTTGGGGTCACCTGCTTATGTGAGAGCACTTTCTCATCCGTGAAATTAACAAAATTTTGGTCTCATTTTTACCAATATGGGAACCTCTTTTCCACTTTCTGCTGCCGGGATAAGTGTACACAGATTATGTCGCGTATTTCTTTGAGAAGAAAGTGCTGATGAGAATATTTGGACCGAAGGGGGATGAAACAGTGGGAAGCTGAAGAAAACTGCGCAATTAGGAGCTTCATAATACAATTAGAATTAATAGAATGATCAAGTCAAGGAGAATGAGTTGGGTCGAGCATGTAACACGCTTGAGGGAGAAGAGATTTTGGTGGGAAGGCGAGAAAGAAAGAGACCACTAGGTAGACCTAGACGTAGGTAGGTGGATAATATTAAAATGTATCTTAGATAGGATGGAATGATCTGTACTAGAATAATGTAGCTCAGGATAAGGACCAATGACCAATGTGAACATGGCATGAAATTTTGGGTTCCATAAAATACTGGGAAATTCTTTAGTAACTGGGCGACTGATAGATCTCAGGCGGGATTCAGCTTCATGGAGTTAGTTAGTTAGTTTTTGTCCCGTACGAGAAGAAATCTCATCCACTGTGCTCACATGGAAGGAATTTAGAGTGATAAATTTGTTGAATTTTTCTAATTTTTGCACTTAAAATTAAAATACAATATATTAACTTTCGATAAATATTTCTTTTTTAAACTTATGTGTCCAATGTTGATTCGTGAGCCTGTGCTTCATGAATCTTTTCACTGCAGGGTACATATTTGTGTCGGTATATATGTATTGCGGTTTGTGGATAGCCACTTAAGGTACAACATGGCTCCTTCAGTGGTTTGACGTTGGGAAACTTTGCCATATATTCTAGTTTCATTAACACTATGAATCTTTTATATTGAATATGCGAAACAACAAATCACGAATGACAAATGCTCTGGTAGGCAGCCGTCGTGGTCAATTTACAGACATTACCCCTGATCTTTACATACTGAGGGAACCACGATAATGATAAATCAGTTTAGCCGGTAGCTTGGCCGAGGTTTGGACCGTTTACCACTAAATAAAACCTATGTTATTGTTGTTGTGCAGCTGCAATATCTTACTTCGCGCTGACATGTAATCTCTGTTCCGAAGCGCTCACTCTCTGTGGGCTGTACACAGCTCTCCCTGAACAACGCGCGTGGGGTTCAGTCAGGGACCTGGAAACTAATTCACAGAGCAGGGCGCTAACAAAGAACGAACTGCGGAGGCTACGCACAGCGGAAGCTGAAGACCCCATTAGCAAGTCATTTCCCTTTCGAAGTGGAGGTCGAGCTGGCGTTCACCTTGCTTCNTCTCATGCGGGATTCAGCTTCATGGAGTTAGTTAGTTAGTTAGTTAGTTTTTGTCCCGTACGAGAAGAAATCTCATCCACTGTGCTCACATGGAAGGAATTTAGAGTGATAAATTTGTTGAATTTTTCTAATTTTTGCACTTAAAATTAAAATACAATATATTAACTTTCGATAAATATTTCTTTTTTAAACTTATGTGTCCAATGTTGATTCGTGAGCCTGTGCTTCATGAATCTTTTCACTGCAGGGTACATATTTGTGTCGGTATATATGTATTGCGGTTTGTGGATAGCCACTTAAGGTACAACATGGCTCCTTCAGTGGTTTGACGTTGGGAAGCTTTGCCATATATTCTAGTTTCATTAACACTATGAATCTTTTATACTGAATATGCGAAACAACAAATCACGAATGACAAATGCTCTGGTAGGCAGCCGTCGTGGTCAATTTACAGACATTACCCCTGATCTTTACATACTGAGGGAACCACGATAATGATAAATCAGTTTAGCCGGTAGCTTGGCCGAGGTTTGGACCGTTTACCACTAAATAAAACCTATGTTATTGTTGTTGTGCAGCTGCAATATCTTACTTCGCGCTGACATGTAATCTCTGTTCCGAAGCGCTCACTCTCTGTGGGCTGTACACAGCTCTCCCTGAACAACGCGCGTGGGGTTCAGTCAGGGACCTGGAAACTAATTCACAGAGCAGGGCGCTAACAAAGAACGAACTGCGGAGGCTACGCACAGCGGAAGCTGAAGACCCCATTAGCAAGTCATTTCCCTTTCGAAGTGGAGGTCGAGCTGGCGTTCACCTTGCTTCCCACGTAATACCACTTCATGTCCCGTCAGAGCACCTTGCGTTACACACAGACTAGCACTAGCAGGAGTACCCCTCCCCCCCTCTTTGCCCTGGACAAGGTTGATCTAGGGCTCAGTTTCACAGTAAATACTAGCTGAAATTTTAAAGAAGCAATAACACTTAAAAGATCATTCACTGTCAATTGTTGTGTGATCGTCTTGTATTTGGATCCTTTATAAGAAAGCAAATACATTCTATAAACAGCTCCGCATCTATGGCATTGGTTCTGCATTGAATCACCTGGTATCAGATCTTTATGAAACGTTATAAATATGATCACCACCCCTTGCNTTTTTTTTAACTTATGTATTGAATATTGATTCGTGAGCCTGTGCTTCATGAATCTTATCACTGCAGGGTACATATTTGTGTCGGTATATTAGAAAAATATATGTATTGCAGTTCGTGGATAGCCACTTAAGGTACAACATGGCTCCTTCAGTGGTTTGACGTTGGGAAACTTTGCCATATATTCTAGTTTCATTAACACTATGAATCTTTTATATTGAATATGCGAAACAACAAATCACGAATGACAAATGCTCTGGTAGGCAGCCGTCGTGGTCAGTTTACAGACATTACCCCTGATCTTTACATACTGAGGAAACCACGATAATGATAAATCAGTTTAGCCGGTAGTTTGGCCGAGGTTTGAACCGTTTACCACTAAATAAAACCTATGTTATTGTTGTTGTGCAGCTGCAATATCTTACTTCGCGCTGACATGTAATCTCTGTTCCGAAGCGCTCACTCTCTGTGGGCTGTACACAGCTCTCCCTGAACAACGCGCGTGGGGTTCAGTCAGGGACCTGGAAACTAATTCACAGAGCAGGGCGCTAACAAAGAACGAACTGCGGAGGCTACGCACAGCGGAAGCTGAAGACCCCATTAGCAAGTCATTTCCCTTTCGAAGTGGAGGTCGAGCTGGCGTTCACCTTGCTTCCCACGTAATACCACTTCATGTCCCGTCAGAGCACCTTGCGTTACACACAGACTAGCACTAGCAGGAGTACCCCTCCCCCCCTCTTTGCCCTGGACAAGGTTGATCTAGGGCTCAGTTTCACAGTAAATACTAGCTGAAATTTTAAAGAAGCAATAACACTTAAAAGATCATTCACTGTCAATTGTTGTGTGATCGTCTTGTATTTGGATCCTTTATAAGAAAGCAAATACATTCTATAAACAGCTCCGCATCTATGGCATTGGTTCTGCATTGAATCACCTGGTATCAGATCTTTATGAAACGTTATAAATATGATCACCACCCCTTGCACGAGAAACTTTAATCGGCAACACACGTCACAACAATTAATTAATCCGTATTTCGGCAAGAATAAGAAGAAAAAAGAAAAAGAATGGAAATACATAATGACTGAAATGGTAAAAAAAAACGTGGATTCGCGAGAGATAATTATAGCAGTCAACTTTAAAATAAAACTGAAATTAATCAAAGTGAAGTGTAGTAAATTTCATGCATGTGACATCTATGAACTGCTTTCTGGATTAAAGAGCATTTAGTGACAGAGTCTCGTCCACAAGGAAATGATTATGATCACGATATGTAAGTAAGTAATAAGGCCAGAAGACATTAAACTTCGCTCACATACTCGTAATAACACAATTGGGAATGCTGATTCGAATCGCATCCATAAAGTATGAACAATACTTATGAATCACCATAGCAGCCTCTGTTATCATTCATACTAATATCACCATATATTTCATATCACTGGGTCTTCTCTCTTCGGTCCCCCTTGAAACATAGGAGACAGAGAGATGAGTTACAGGACTCCAAGAGCCATGAGAGAGTAACATATGGCCATGAGTGCCGCGGGACTCGGGACCAAGAATGACTATGCTGGCGAGGTCCATCAGTAATTTACCCGACCGATCGATAGGAAATTATATTCGTATAAGAATTATCAAGTCCATTCGAATGGTTTTTCATAATGTTCCATATTGTAATGCTTATCATAATAACTACTTCCAATTCTGCGTAATTTTTTCAGCCGTGGACGAGATCTCGAGTGCAAAAAAGAAACAATGTTTAAGAATAACGGCCAGCAACTTCTTTCCTTCCTTCCNGTAAGAAAGCAAATAATTCTGTAAACAGCTCCGCATCTGTGGCATTGGTTCTGCATTGAATCACCTGTTATCAGATCTTTATGAAACGTTATAAATATGATCACCACCCCTTGCACGAGAAACTTTAATCGGCAACACACGTCACAACAATTAATTAATCCGTATTTCGGCAAGAATAAGAAGAAAAAAGAAAAAGAATGGAAATACATAATGACTGAAATGGTAAAAAAAAACGTGGATTCGCGAGAGATAATTATAGCAGTCAACTTTAAAATAAAACTGAAATTAATCAAAGTGAAGTGTAGTAAATTTCATGCATGTGACATCTATGAACTGCTTTCTGGATTAAAGAGCATTTAGTGACAGAGTCTCGTCCACAAGGAAATGATTATGATCACGATATGTAAGTAAGTAATAAGGCCAGAAGACATTAAACTTCGCTCACATACTCGTAATAACACAATTGGGAATGCTGATTCGAATCGCATCCATAAAGTATGAACAATACTTATGAATCACCATAGCAGCCTCTGTTATCATTCATACTAATATCACCATATATTTCATATCACTGGGTCTTCTCTCTTCGGTCCCCCTTGAAACATAGGAGACAGAGAGATGAGTTACAGGACTCCAAGAGCCATGAGAGAGTAACATATGGCCATGAGTGCCGCGGGACTCGGGACCAAGAATGACTATGCTGGCGAGGTCCATCAGTAATTTACCCGACCGATCGATAGGAAATTATATTCGTATAAGAATTATCAAGTCCATTCGAATGGTTTTTCATAATGTTCCATATTGTAATGCTTATCATAATAACTACTTCCAATTCTGCGTAATTTTTTCAGCCGTGGACGAGATCTCGAGTGCAAAAAAGAAACAATGTTTAAGAATAACGGCCAGCAACTTCTTTCCTTCCTTCCTGTTCTCTCATTTCGGGGAATGGCTGGGATAGTATCTCATGAGAGCATTCTCCCTACATCACAGTCGCCATTGTATATCTTGTGCAGCGTTACGTAACGTGGCAGTTCCTGCAACAAAGGAAGAAAGTGTGAAGAATTGATGAATTGCGTACCTCGTTGACTTTCATGTAAACGTATTGCAGAGACACATCTGTTGAAAATCTAAAGATATACACAATTATTGTTCCTTTTTACTTAGTTAAATGTTAAACTCGCCAAAAATGTTTCAAACAAAAGCTGCAGAACTTCCCGAGTTACTCTATTTTTTAGCGTTAACTCTGTGTACAATGAGCCATTGCTGAAAAGATTCTCAAGTTAGATTTGAACTTTGTGTTGTGGGTTAGAGTGGTGGTTAGCCATACCTGTATGTCCCGGCAACAAAATTCTGTACCCATTGGATCCTCCATCTAGTGCCGAGGTCAAGAATGATGAAGCTACACCTCCACTTCTCTACACGTCTTCATTTAGTAGTGCTTACTGAATTAAGCACAGGCAAACTTTTATTTCATCTTTACGGATTATATTGGGGAAACGCGCGCCACGATAAAATCTATCCTACAGATTTTAAGAGTAAACCACAAATCGAACATTTTATAGAAATCCATAGAATAATCTCGAAGAAGAAACGCGAAGACCTGTGGAGCAATTTGTGCAATTTATGTAAAGAAAGCATAAAACAGAGTTGAGAGTGATACTGGTTCAGACAGTATCTAAGTTGCAATGGTCTTGAACTTCTTGTGTGTGTGTGTGTTTCTGAAATGGCAGCAGCAGTTTCGACCGATTTCGAGGTCACTTTGAGTGCTTACTTAATGATATGCGGAATTGAATATTTCTCCGCAGGACATTCTCAGCAGCAAGTTGATTGCCTCGAAAATTAGGACATTGTTCGGGATATGTATGTATAGATACAACAAACACAATTACAAATTTTGGGACTCTCAAGATGGTGACTGTTACGATTGTGGTCTTCTGGGTTGTGAATCGATGTAGTTCTTTAGAGAGATATATAAGGTTGGGAGGAATATGTTCCTTCCATCTTCAGGGTTGAAGTGTGTATGGCGAGAAATCGGTTTTGCAACCTGTATATGTAACACAACCGATTTCTGACGCACACACTTCATCCCTGAAGATGGAGGCAGCATATTACTCTGACACATCGACATCCATCTGTAAGGTCAAGCGGTGTCAAAACACAGAAAACCACAATCTGAAAATATACTGTTTAATGTGTAACTTCATTTTTCGGGCTTTAGAAACGACGTCTGTTGAAAATGTTTCGTCTTACATTGTAGTCTCTGTCTTCAGAGCAGAACGGCAGAAGAGAGAAATCTCACATCGGTTGTACTCGATCTGAAACCAACGGACTCATCTCAGTCACCTGGCTAATAATTTTAGTTTCATATTCCGCAATCCAATTAATGACATTCTCTTTTTCAAAACCTTGCACTACCTTTCCTGGAAGTGAAATAACAGCCTTTACTTAAGTGTGTGTGTGTTTGGGGGGAGGGCTGTAATCATGCATTCCTTCGAGACCTGTACATTATCCACCCGTCCTCTAGAATTCACCCAACTGCAGCTTTCACTTCATTTTTAGAAGTCTTTTTTGCCCCTAGCTTAATGGCAATCTTCATAACATGCAAAATATATCTTCAAGGCTAACAAACGGTACAGTGCAACGCATTTAATATTCGATATATCCGCGCTTGGCGGCAGCACTTGCCTTGCAAAAGCAGCGTCCAGTGTATAACGCTAAGAAGCCCCCTAGTGTTTCCTTCATGTGCTTTGGACTCTAAAATTGGTGTATGCTCGTAAAGAAAAATACCGCGATCAATTCAGCCTTGCACGCAAATTAAATCAAATATACAACCACATTTCGCATACCATCTTATGGAAGCAGCAGCATCGCTTCTCACTATTTGATACTTCAGCGAATTCCCGTTTGGTGTGCTAAAGCAACGTGCCTGTATATGCGTGTGTGTGTATATTCTAGAGTAACTGCCCTCTAAAACAAGTACGTCAAATTACTTTTCTTTCCAATTTTTATAAACGCTGATGCGTGAAGCTGACTGCTCACCTCCAGCTACTGCCGAGGTCAAGAATACGTCTTCACGGCGTTGTGCTTATTTAGATAAGCACAGGGACAACTTTACCTTCGACTGGCTACGGGCTGGAAGACCGAGAGGTCGGAGTTCGAGTCCCGGTAGGGTCAAGAATTTTCACTTCTCCATGTCTTCCAGACCGGCTCTGGGGTCCACCCAGCGTCCTATACAATAGGCATCGGGGGCTCTTTCCCGGGGGTAAAGCGGCCGGGGCGTGAAGCTGACCACTCATCTCCAACTAGTGCCAAGGTCAAGAAAATTTGGATCTATAAATCCACTCCCCCATACGCCTTCATGACGTATCATGACTTTCTTTTACAATTTTACGTTTAGTCCAATCGCTCAACAAAGTACTGTTCCAGGCACTGTGGAATCAGCCGAATTTCCCCTACATATTACAGGAATGTTTATTGTAGAACCGTGTCTGGCCTGTAACTTCCTGTCACTCAGGTTCAAACGTTCTCTTGACGACTTTGTTGTTAAAGGCTCACAATCTACACTCCTCTTTAGGCTGAGAGGCATTTCACACCTGTCTAGTCTACCACGTCTTCAGAACGGTGTTACGTTTGAATGCGAGTTCTGCTATAATTAAAAATTAAATGTGACAACCAGTGTACTGCATACAGTCTTATGGTTACACACATGTCTTTTGCGTATTTACAGCTGCATTCGGTGAAGCATTCGACGAAATTGTGGTGGAGTCGACGTTAACAGTTAAGGGAAAAGGAGGATCAAGTCGACAGAGTAGAAACAAAGCTCTGACGCTAAAGAGCACATCTACAAGTACTTCCACTACTTCGACAACAGAAAGCAGCACCAACGAAGAGCCGAAGCGCTCGAAGCGGGAGAGTTCTGAATTCCATGGTCCAAGGTATACATACAGGTTGCATAAGTTCTTTTTATAAATTAGATTCATGTTACTTTTTGGAATAGTTTTATCAGTTATTATGTTAGTTAGTTAGTTATTAGCGGCCTCCTTAGTCTAGAGGTAACATTCCCACCTCATGACTCGTGGTACGCGGGTTCAAATACCCGGCGGAGGTCGTCGAAATTTTAAGGGCGGAAAAATTCAGGGAACAAATCCTCCGGGAGGGACTTTAAGCTGTGTGTCCCGTGTCGTAACTTTACGGCACGTAAAAGAACCTCATATCCCCAAAGGGGATCACTGAGCCAAATTCCAGGACGTTTCCCGCCCAACAATAGTCTCTAAGGCCTCTGATAGATGGGGGAAGCATTATAGATACCGCTAAGCAAGTGGCCGAACTCGCTTGCTCGGCGGGACTGATGGTACGCACCATTTATCGGTAGGGTATAGAGACTGGTAGAATATCATAGAGGGAAGCACAATAGATCAAACTGATCGCGGTGCATGGGGAAACCCACCTTCTCTAAATAACTAGTTAGTTATTGGAGAGGGTGGGTTTCCCCATGCACTGAGACCTGTATTGGTCCATTGTGTTTCCCTCTATGATTTCTACCAGTCTCTATATCCTACCGGTAGTGGTGCTTACCATCAGTCCCGCCCAGCCAGCGAGACCGGCTCTACTAGCTGAGAGGTATCTATCATGCCTCCCCCATCTACCAGAGGTATTAGAGACTGCTGTTGGGCGGGAAACGTCCGTTAATTTGGCTCAGTGACCCCCTTTGGGGATATGAGGTTCTTTTACGTGCCGTAAAGCTACGACACGGGACCCACGGCTTAAAGTCCCTCCCGGAGACTTGTTCCCTGAAATTTTCCGCCCTTAAAAATTCGACGACCTCCGCCGGGTTTTTGAACCCGCGTACTACGAGTCATGAGGTGGGAACGTTACCTCTAGACTACGGAGGCCGCTATCAGTTATTATGCAAATAACTTTTTTCATGTTGATTATTATGCAAGGAAGACGTCTGTTTGCATATTTAAACTTACAAAATATGTGGTATATTGCCGAAAAGCCAGAGGAAGTTCTGTGTTAAAGCTGTTTCTTCCGCATGTCTTAAACACGAAATAAATCTAGCGCACATGAGTCAATGCTTTTAAAAGTCATATGGGATGAGTTAACTAACCACGGAAGAAGTATAAAATCCAGCAGAGTGTAACAGATAACATTCCTTTTCCTCATTCAAGTCAGACCAAACTAAAATAAACTAAAGTCGATTCTTGCAATATTTGATCTCCTGCGTTCTTAATGTCATTCTAGCGGTTAGTCGCCTGCTTCCCACCGCGGCGGCCCGGGTTCGATCCCGGGTCTGGTCAAGTGGGATTTGTGGTGGACAAAGTGGCGCTGGGGCGGGTTATCTCCGAGTACTTCGGTTTCCCCTGCCAATCTTCATTCCTCCAAATTCTCCATTATCATAATCACACGGGACAGGCTACAATAGGCCAATCAGTGGCCACCGTGCCGAGTGGACCCAGTTGGACTCCAACCCCCACTAAGCGAATTGAAAAAAAAAATGCGGTTCTGGGATACCTAACTATCGAACAGTCTGTACCGACGGCTATTCCTTGTGTAGCTGACGGTATACTCGTAACGCTAAGAAACCCTTCAGTCTTATGAGTCAAATATTTATGACCATAATCGAAAGAAAGCTGCAGTTGTGACCCATTCGGAATCAGCTCAGTTTAATCTCTGTTATTGCAAACTATTTTCATAAGATTAATTTCGGTACTATCCCCCATATGCACCTGAGAATCGGTGTCATCTCATGACGTTATCCAGTCGAAACTCTGCTCTTAGGCACATAAGTCCCCTTTTACAAAACCGCACACTTCTTGCATGTTAGAAATTAGAACAGCCACTTTTATTGGTACTATCTCAAGTGCGAATTTCGTGCTATACTTCACCACCCGACAGAGAGAAGACTTGGCTAAGATTTTCGTACAAAATAAACGACATTTGAGGCCACTTAAAAATGTTACAGTTTCGGATGTCTTTTCGGAACAAAACATGATCACGAACTTATATTTAAGTTTTGGTGAAGATCGGACGAAAAGAGCTATTTTGTATTTATCGCGATTTTCTTCAGTCCCTACACGATGCCCTCATCAGGGGAAACAGTAGTGTGGCTTATATCTTACCGGGTTACGTCCAATGGCGAACTAATGAAATACTTGTAAATAATCGGTAACATAATTATTCTTTTGTTCCAGAGTCTCGAACACGAACTTCGCACGCTCTTCAGGTCGGCCATTTCAGGTTGTAGACCTGTTTGGTAGAGATCTTACATCTAAAGGAGGGTTGCTGGGAGAAGGGAGATCTTGAAGAGGTCTCAAGACCGGCTCATTGCATTCTGAGCGACTCGTAAGAAAGATCTGAAGCTACAGTATAACACAATGTCTCATGTAGGACTAATATTAAAATAAAAGAAAAATCCATATCTGCTACTTTGCATTCCTGCTATGTATTGACACACAACTGTGACGCATATTTTTAATGAGCACTTCATAATTCATCCATATTCTCCTTGCCGATGTTACTGCTGCCGTCTTCTTGGATGTGGCGCCGTGTAAACCGACGTTTCGGAGGAACGAATCGCCTCCTTTTCAAGGTATAATAATCCGCGAAAGAGGAACCAGCATGAGCAGGTGTCTGCAAACACACGTTAAAGCTGGTTCTACGCTCGCGGATTTTTATAACCCAAATATGTAGGCGATTCCTTCCTCCGAAACGTCGGTTTACACAATATCTACAAGGCGCCACATCCCAGAAGACGGCATTCTTCAAAATAAAGTTTCTTATTCGCGAAAGATGACTTGAGCGTGCTGTAGACTAGGAGATCCAGTACGGTCTACTTAATCTCACGGATTAAAAAAGGAAACATAAAAAGATGCAAAAGTAGACTGCAAGCCCAAATTTTCTACTGTTGTTCTAACGCATTTTTCAAAGCTTTCATGGGCCCTGGAAACAGGATATACGTACAGCCAGACAGACTGCAAAATATCTTAGCAGAAATCTTATCTTCATCTTAGCATCACATCACGTGTAGAACCGGACATCATCGAGTCTTGTCTGTGTATTTTGACCAGAATCATTTGGTTCTTCCAGGTATCAGCGCGGGTTACGTGTCCGCGCAGGACATGGAGAGAAAACTTAAATAGATTCGCACCATTTCGTGCAGCCTCACAGACATTTGCACGACGTCTCTGTGACTCATTTCCTGTTCGCTACATAAACCCAGTTCAACAGCCTGCCACAGAACATGGTAGTGAAGCGACTAGTAATTTTTTCGGTGTTCGCAAGGTCCCATTTTCAGACCCTGGTACCAGGACAAACTACAATTTATTGATTTTGCCTCAATTTCACCAGTAAAAAATATGATTTGGGACAGTCCCACAATAAATAATCAAAAAGAAACAAAATAGACACTAATGTGTCAGCATTTGTTTTTATTCGTCTTTGGTGGTATCACTACATTTTTCGACCCTTTTCCTTTGTCATCTTCAGGCATAAAACAAACGTTGACGCAGTAGTGTCTATTTTCTTTCTTTTTTATTATTTGTTGTGCGACTGTCCCAAATTATATTTTTTTCGTAAATAACACACAACAGGATCCATACCATAAAAGTTCACCAGGAAAATGAACATTGGGATAGTGCCTAAGAAAAATTTCCGACGCTTCTCTTGCAGCCTTTTTCGAATATTCCAAATGAAATTTAGAATTCAAGGTTTTCGCTAAACGTTGTCTTGATTGTCATTCTTAAAGGGTCCTGATGACGGTGTGTAACACTCAAACTTACACCGTAAGGCTGATCTCACAGCCATCTGTGAGGCGATTGTCTGAAAAATGTGGGAACCTCGACGTCTCACAACTCCATGGTCTTCATGGCCTGTTACAAGAAGAACGTTGCCTTCTTTAAACTTATAGTAAAAGGGAAAACATGTAATCTCATGCAATTCCATGTTTCCTGTCGCTTAGATTTGTCACGCCAGTGCACCTCACTGCTCTGTATTGTGTAACTTGCCGGACTGGAGATCAGATTATCCAAAGGTGTTCCGAATATGTACGCGATTCGAATCTTGGTGAGGTTACAGGATATCATCAAGTATCGTATGCACTCAGGGTTCTTCCAGGCGAATACTGGCTTAGTAACTTACTTTTTTAGGTCGCGCCATAGCTCAAGCGGTTAGTTTCTGGCTTCCCACCGCGGCGGCCCCGGTTCGAGCCCGGGTCTGGTCATGTGAGATTTGAGGTGGACGAAGTGGCGCTGGGGTAGGTTTTCTCCGAGTACTTCGGTTTCCACTGCCAAACTTCATTCCACCAATTGCTCCACAATCACCCTCATCTGTCATCTGGGGCTGGTACAATAGGCCAGAAGTGGCCGCAGTACAAGGGACTTAGTCTCACCCCACTAAGGGGGGAAAAACTTAGTTCTTTCAGTGTAATTTTCTTCCAAATGCTTACTTATTCACATTTCCTGACCTTTTGCAACTTGGCCATCTTTATAGAGTCTTACGCTGAAATAGTGTCGTTAATTGGTCTAAGAATGAGTTCTGAACGACTGCTCGTCTATTTAGCAATATCTGAACTCCATAGATTGAGTATTACGCCAAATGGGAGACTGTTTGAAACTATGGATTTTGAAGGATATAGACGCGATATCAAGACATTATCTTGGCATTTGCCTTGAGGGACTGTGACTTCATTCAGGATAAGCAACTTCAGATCGAGAATCAGATCTGAAGCCTGAATGATAACACATGATGACGACTTTCAGATAAAGAATCTCTTAGTGCCAATTTGGGGCACTCAGAAACTGTGTACTCGTGTCTAGTATAAGCTCCCTAACTGTCACTTGGTTTGTGGGAATGCGACAAGAGAGAAACAGCCCTTAATTGTGATGTTGTCTTTTTACAGTAGAGAAGTCAGCTGACTGACGGTATTGCTGTATACCGCATGTAAATATTTTCAAGAAGTATGAGTAATGAAATTTAACGTTTTGTAAATGTAAATTCTGAAGAAGCAGAAATGAACCCATGCGACTTCCCTTCTACCTGTTGCGCGGAACATGTAAATACCGTACTTAATGTGCTGAAAGTAGGCTACAACTTTTGCAAACTGAAATTGAGTTTGTAAGGTTTGAGGTTTTCAGGGCGGTGACTATGGAGAAAGCAGTCTTCTGAGATTGATTTTGTAAGATTTGAGGTTTTCGCGTCGGTGACTATGAAGAAAGCAGTCTTCTGAGATTGATTTTGTAAGGTTTGAGGTTTTCACGGCGGTGACTATGGAGAAAGCAGTCTTCTGAGATTGATTTTGTAAGGTTTGAGGTTTTCGCGGCGGTGACTATGAAGAAAGCAGTCTTCTGAGATTGATTTTGTAAGGTTTGAGGTTTTCACGGCGGTGACTATGGAGAAAGCAGTCTTCTGAGATTGATTTTGTAAGGTTTGAGGTTTTCGCGGCGGTGACTATGAAGAAAGCAGTCTTCTGAGATTGATTTTGTAAGGTTTGAGGTTTTCACGGCGGTGACTATGGAGAAAGCAGTCTTCTGAGATTGATTTTGTAAGGTTTGAGGTTTTCGCGGCGGTGACTATGAAGAAAGCAGTCTTCTGAGATTGATTTTGTAAGGTTTGAGGTTTTCACGGCGGTGACTATGGAGAAAGCAGTCTTCTGAGATTGATTTTGTAAGGTTTGAGGTTTTCACGGCGGTGACTATGAAGAAAGCAGTCTTCTGAGATTGATTTTGTAAGGTTTGAGGTTTTCACGGCGGTGACTATGAAGAAAGCAGTCTTCTGAGATTGATTTTGTAAGGTTTGAGGTTTTCACGGCGGTGACTATGAAGAAAGCAGTCTTCTGAGATTGATTTTGTAAGGTTTGAGGTTTTCACGGCGGTGACTATGAAGAAAGCAGTCTTCTGAGATTGATTTTGTAAGGTTTGAGGTTTTCACGGCGGTGACTATGAAGAAAGCAGTCTTCTGAGATTGATTTTGTAAGGTTTGAGGTTTTCACGGCGGTGACTATGAAGAAAGCAGTCTTCTGAGATTGATTTTGTAAGGTTTGAGGTTTTCACGGCGGTGACTATGGAGAAAGCAGTCTTCTGAGATTGATTTTGTAAGATTTGAGGTTTTCACGGCGGTGACTAAGAAGAAAGCAGTCTTCTGAGATTGATTTTGTTTCTCCCTGTTTTGTTGTCTTTTCCTGTCATGAGTTTTTTTTTTTGCTTATTTTCTGTGGACACTTTCAGTTCTGCTCTTTTTTCTCTTTGTTTTTTATCCGTATCTATATGTCGTTTTTCTGTGGATACCTACGTGTGTAGTATGTAGGCAGATACATCGTTAAGTACGTAGATAGGTAGGTACATGGGATATACATACATTGGTAGATACTGTAGATAACTGTGTAGATATGTAGACAGACAGGGACTTTCTTTTAAACAATGATAGATAGATTTATGTTGCCATGAAAAGATATGTGCCCGTCATAAATTCTGAGAACTTAAGCTTTACACGCTGGATAACCGCGGATTGCAGATAAGACTTAGTGGTAAAGGCAGAAGGAACTACATTTCAATCTCCGTCCCGATGGCTCAAATGCTTCCCTTAGAGTGTGCCATCGGGACGCAATAACTGTATCAATTGTCCCTAAGATTTGCTTGTATAAACGGCGCCATGCTGAACCGTTCCGCGCCATTTTTCCAGAAGCTACAATGTCATTGAATGTGGAGGAGGTATCTTGGCGGCAGTGGCATCCTTTGTTGATATTCAAACATATAGGAATATAAGTGGAAGGCAAAAGTAAAGCTATCCCTTTAACAGGCCGTGGAGGACTATATGGTTGTAGGACGTCGAGGCTCCCACATTTTCCAGACAATCGGCTCACAGATGGCGGTAAGATTGTTAGCCTTACACGCCGGCCGCTCTTTACACCCCCAGAAAGATTCCTGATACCGATTCCTCCTAGAGGCTGAGTCGGCCCCAGGGCCATAGTGCGGCTGGAAGGTTTAGGTCAATTGAAAAATCCGTGGCCTCATCGGGAATCGAACACACGACCTTCCTTTTGTAGCATAGTGCCTCAACCAACTACGCTACCGCGTGCCCCAGGGATAAATATAGAAGGATATATAGATAGACATATATACTGGTATGTATGTAGATAGATAGATACTAGATAGTCCACCATCCCGCTGAGAACCATTGAGCGGCGTGAAGTTTGTAAAGAGCTGAAGGTCACACGGTTTCTTCCTCAGTAACACTTGCCCTTGTGCGCAGCCTCAAGTGTGGGTGCCGCCTCTCCTCTCTGTCGTGTCACGTGCGTTCAGTTTTATAGTGAGCCACTGGTTGACATGCAAAGTGGAGTCACGACGCCGTGTTTGTTACCAAGCTCCGTGCGTCCGAGTGTCTGAGGCAAGCTTCAAACAATTGCACTGTATATATGGATCAGTGGCGTTCC